ACCAGTATAGTGGGGGATGAAGCGCAGAATATATGGCTTGTGTTTCGATCTGGGTCATAAATATATTGGCAAGAACGGGCGAAACAGGATTGCCCATATTTAAACCATCTATTTGAAGGAAATTTTCATTGTTGAAAGTGAAGTTAGTTTTAGTTGTTGTAAATTTTAAGAGAGAAGCACAAAATGTGCTGGAGATGTGAATTAACTTGTTGGGGTCATTAATGTAGAGGTTAAGTGCAATATTGCAAGCTTCATTGGTGAAGAGTGACACGACATCAAAACTAGCCATTAAGGCTTTCGAATTTAGTTGGTCTAGTGTATATTGAAGGCATCTTTAAAAAATGAACCTACAGATGTTACATATGGTGTGAGAGCACAGGCTATGTATTTGCCGAGATTGTAGTTGAATGAATCATAAGTGGACAGTAGGGGGCAGTCCTGTTTGTGTGGTTTAGCAATGCCATAGAGTTGTGGTATGCGTGAATCAGTTTTACGTAGATAAAAATAAAGATCGTCAGTAATTAAATTATCTTTTTTTCATTTGTAATAAAGTTCTGTTTAATTGTTTTTCGTGTGTGTTTGTTGGGTTATTTGGGATGGCTTTAAATTTCTTTTTATCGGAAAGGATGTTGTTCATTTTGTCGATGTATTCTGAATTGTTCATTATTACAGTGGCGTTGCCTTTATCAGAATTTAGAATTTTAATGTTAGTGTTTTTTTCAGATTATAAATGGATTTGATCTCATTACTTGTGAGGTTACTTTTCAGTTTACGGGATTGGTTGACTATATTAAAGTCTTGTTCGAGAATTCTTTAAAAACGTTATTTAAAATACAGTTTTTGGGAACTTCGGGAAACCACATATTGTTGTAGTTACCTGTGATAAAAGTCTGTTGGTTGATGTCATGGATTTCTTATTTCTGTAGTTGGAGGATATTTGAGGTAGAGGTGGTATTTTGTTCTTATATATAGTGGGTCACTAGTCTTCTGGCTAGATCTTCTAGGCATGGAGCTGTTTTGTGGTTGACGGCAAAGTTCAGGCCTTTGTTTAGAAGTTAGTTAGTTTCTGTTTACTTTTTGGTAACTAAATATCTGTGCTACTTAGAAGTTATTACATAATCTGAAGATCTGTGACTGAGCTGATGTAACATTTTTTAGAAGTTGTAGATAAAGTTTAATTTATACTTTAAAACTGATTTTGTCCAGAAAACTAGATGAGATGAAATCTATTTATTCGGGAAATATTTTTCTCCAGATTTTATAAATTCGGTAGAATTCAAGAACAATATCATGTTAAAAAAAATTAAAATTTTTTTCGTCGTCACAAAAGTGAAGTTGTTGTAAATTTGATGTGGGTGTGAAATGTTGGAATAAGAAGTAATTGTTATTTGATCTGTTTAAAATGTGAATGTAAGAATTTTATTTTCTGAATAACATATAACGTTACAAATAAACATTTTATAGTAGCATATCAAGAGTAAAAACTAAATGTTCTCTTCTAAACTTCAGATATTTTTATATTTACATAAGAAAGTCCAATATTAAATTATTAAAAGTACCAAAATTATGATGAGGTGTGAAGACTTCTTATTTTTCTCTTTCTAGTGATGATTTTTATAAACTGAATGAAAAAAAAAGAGACAAATAAGACATTATGATAAGGTTTAGAACGTTTAGATGTGTTCTTTGTTTATAAATACGTTAAGTTAAAGTGGACAAAACCTCATTTTCTGTTTGTTAAGAGCAACTCTGACCGAAATGTAATAAAAAATAATCACAGTTTTTTGTATGATGTTTCTTTAGATAACCCCATTTCAGAAGTAATAACAAATACTTCATTGAAAAATTATGAATAAACTTAGGATTAATTTATTGTATTTGTGTTATTTCTTTAATAACTAAGAAATGGGCATCAAACTTCATTTCAAATCACGAGAAGCCTTTCAAAATTTTTTTTTACCGACAGCGTATTGAACAGTTAGCAAATCCCTTAGAAATAATGTGCAAGAAATAACACAAATACAATAAATTAATCCTAAGTTGGACAGTTAGTAAATCCCTTAGAAATAATGTGCAAGAAATAACACAAATACAATAAATTAATCCTAAGTTGGACAGTTAGCAAATCCCTTAGAAATAACGCGCTACGTTTTACATTAGTCAGGTGTCATGTGTTTAACCAGCCTCTATCAAGGTTTGTTATTGTATTGATGACTTGTATGTTGTTGTTTTTTTGAAATCTTGAATTGTCAATTATTAAGATGTACAGAATTATTTTCCTGTACGATATAAAAGCTATTTTGACTATTTATATGTTGTTATTAGTGTTACTTGACGTTTCCATACCAGAAAATGAGTTTTAAAACTGTTTTAATTTTCAATGAATAAATAAATCAAA